GAGTAAAGAAGAGTGGGCTCATTGCTTAAAAAGAGCTGTTGTTGCTCTTCAAACTTCCTCCACACCCCTGCTCGGAGAGAAAACTGTTGACTGAATGTACCAGAGAATGGCTGCCCCTCTGCGTGTACACACGTTTTATTTTGATAGTTTGTGTGTATTTCTTTGACCCCCCACCTCGACTCTGTCTGTTACCAGTCTGCTTTTCTTTGCTCGTTTCATTTAGTCGCTCCAAGAGAGGAAAGTTGGTTGTTGAATAGCTGTATTTTAGTTTAAGTCTTTTCTTTCCCCATTTTCTTTCTCTCATTTTTTTCCAGTTTTGCTGCAGTTGGCCAATGATGCATTTCCCAGGGACATGATGCTGGCTTTGTCCTACTTACTGGCCCTGCCTCAGGTAGGTGGACACACACACACACACTCACACACACTTGTCTCTCTATACTTGTGTGGATTTTGCATTGACTTCCATTAATTACTATAGCCTAACCCTGACCCCTTACCCTAAACCTAACATCACAGGCCCATAACAAACCCTAAACTAAACTTAGTCCATACCTTAGCCCTAATTCTGATCCCTGAATCACAAATGGGGGTTTTCCATTCTGTGGACCAGGTAAATATCTACACATTGACAAAATATCTTTATAAGCATAGTATAATGTCAGGATACGTCCCACGCACAAATACAAAAACGTGCACACACACACACATGTCCTGTAGCAACAGAAGTGTTTTTGATGCATATAGTAAATGCACAAATCAGTTTTTTATTCCTTGCTTGTCTTGTAAATTGTTCACTGTCAAATTATCAGAAGTTTCATATTGTGAAAACACAAATTGCTAGCTGCACAATTTGCAAAACATTTAAAATGTAGATCAAGTTTTTAAGACAATAATTTTATTTTTAAATTTGCCTAACAGTTAATGTGTAAATAAATTCCCCTACTCTCTGGCACTCCATGATTTGAAAAATCGTATTTTAGTGACTCGTTCAAGTTTGCAGGTTATTGTATTGTTACGTCTCCGATCCAACACTGAGTAAACTTTCCAGCCACGCCTTAAATCATTGCTCCCAATTTTAGTTTCAAATTATATTCGATTTATAGTGTCTTCAAAGCCAAAAACTTAACTCTGTTGTTGTTTGRTATTTGCTATTAAAAGCAAATTATCAGCAGATGTTGTAAAGTACATTCATCAATCATCCTTTTTTAATGTTTTTTTTTCTTTTCATTTTCTTTTCTGCTTTGAGAAAAATAAAAAGATGGAGCATTTTTTAAATTTGTGGGGTATAAAATGAAATGATTATTATTTTTTTCATTTTTCAATATCTGTTTTTAAAATTAAAAACGAATGACCAAAAATTCTTGGAATGATATTGCATCCCAATTTTCCATTTTTGACTGAACAAACTACCAGTGGTAACAGTTCTCCTCGGCTCATATAAGCAGCTGTTTTTTACCATTCTCCTTTTAAAAACTTAATAAAACACAGGGATGGACCAATAAGAAAAATTATGATGCTATTTAAGATGAGTCTACCGTCTTGTCTGGTTAAGTTATTTCAGGCTGGGTCATCTCAGTGCAGGAYTCTTGACATTTTTATGCCGTTAAAAGACAGATCATTTAAGATGTTTGACCTATCTCTTAGGATGTCCTTTGCCAAAGAGGGCTTAAGTCCTGAGTTTCACTCAACGACCTTAAACTGGCTGCTTAGAAAAGAGCCACATAGACAAAGCTAATAGACTGCAGCGGTACCGTAATCCTGTGGCATTTTGACCGAAGCATGTTGGTGAATTTGTATTAAGACCTAATGAAATGTTACCTTGGAGGAGAAAGAGCATATATAGTATATCTCCTTTAAATCAATGCCAGCTTTATTGAAGTATGTATGAAAAATAAATTGAACATTTCTGCACTTACAGTAATAAAGTCATTCAAAACACAAGACAAGCTGTGATAGGACCGAATTGGCATCCATAAACCCAGAGGGGAATATGATTCTAGCACTCACCTCATCCATTTTTAAGTGAATTTTACAACTTCCCCAACTTTTCAAGCCAGTAAAATAAATTTGTACATTGGACATTTTTCTAAACTGTGGTTTATAATACATGCAGGTGTTGGATGCCAACAAGTGTTTTGAGAAGCAGTGCCGCTCCGCCTTGTCACTCCAGCTGGCTGCTTACTACTACTCCCTGCAGATCTACTCCCGCCTCGTGCCCTGCTTCAAGGACAAGAATCACACACTCTACCAGGTCAGTGTGAAGAACCAGCTCTGTGTGTATGCTGAAGCAGAAACGGTTTAAATGTTTATTCTTGAGTTTATTAGCAACTAACTTGACCAGATTCAGTAAAAACCTTACATTTTCCCTTTGTTGTGAAGCAGAAGCTGCAAATAGCCAAAYACATTCCAAAAACTGATGAAGTAAGGAGTGTCAGAGTGACCTGTAACTCTATAAAGGTTGGGACAAAATCTACACTGTAGGGACGTTCCAGATGGGTAAAACCTTCCAAAGTTTAATACTTGGAGCACATAAATAAAACACAGATCTGTTTTGAACAGACTGGCTTTTGAAGAGGTTTCCWGACATCTAAAAGGCTCAGCAAGTTTTAGCTCTTAATGCAATGCCTTATTACCRTTAGAAAACGGCACAGTGAAATGCTGTCACCCAAGCTGAAAGTCTATTATAGTTTTGCCAGAGGACAAGCAAATTGAAAGCAGGTAGGTAGGTGGGTGGGAATGACTTCCATCAGATTCACAGAGATAACAGTGGCTGAATCAGACTTGTCTTGCAAGGCAATCATGGTCTCAAGATTACAACTAAGAGATAATCTGTCTTCTTAAGTGTTAAACTAGGTGCTGTAGAAGTGCTTTAGGCCCCAACTCAGTTGTTTATGACTGATCAGTGTCAATTACTGTCTTTATTGGGAGTACTGAGTGGGCCAGCAAAACGACTACAATGACAGCTTTTTAATGGGAATTCCAACTAGTTGTAACAGACATCATTTTATAAACATTTACTTCAGCTATAAAAACAAGACTGAAAATAATGTAGGCTGTTTATTATTTATTTATTATTATTATTAGGCTGTCTCCATATTATTTACACTGCAAAGCATATCTGGTAAATGATGATGCTTGCAAGGTCCTCTGATGCTAACTTTATTTAGCTTGAAGGTTAATTTTGGACGATATCTGACGTGCATCCCTTTTAAATGAAACCAGAGTTGACAGAGAGCAGAACGCAGAAATGACAGCCTGCAACTGAAAATGTGGCTGGAGGACAACAGAGCTGTTTCAAAGAAGGCTCACTTCTTCTTAAAAATTTTTAAAAATTT